GAAAGAAAAGAAACTCGAGTGACCAATCACCAAAGGTTGTCCACTCGCGGGTCGATCCAATTTGACCCTGACCCGGAAAGAAAAATGGGCCGCACGTACTTGTCGGGCCGACCACTACAAGGTACCGGGTTGGAGGTCAAATTGTGTCTTTTTTTCTTTGGTTTGCGAAATGCGCTTATTTTCCGATTTTTCTTTTCGCCTAACTCAATTTTTGAAATTCTAAGTTGAACATTTGAATATTTATGTTAAGTGTGTGTGAATTTTCACTATATGTTGGATCTAAGTACGATATGTTATTTTGGTGTACTATTATATGTTATAACTCATATGTTAGATAATATTTGATATAATTTATGAGGACAAGTACAATATAATGACTTTATCCATATTTTCGGGCGAACCAGGACTAAAATGATTAACCCATTAACTCTTGACCCACTAGTTCGACCGGGTCCGAGTCAACTTGCTGGTTGACAACCTTGCCAATCACACACCTTCCTTGGTCAGTCACCCAATTAAGATCCATATATATATATATATATATATATATATATATATATATATATATATATATATATATATATATATATATATATATATATATAATAAGTACAATTTGAAGCTTTTTGTGAGAAGACTCGTTCTCCGCCGTGGTTATAGATGGCGTAAAACTGGAAGATATTCCCGCCCGCCGGCCACATTGGTTGGTTTTGACAACCTTCAAACGATGCTAACATTCCCCTTGTATGGTAGCATTTTTCATTTCATTGGTTTTATGTACTGTTGGTTTCTGTTGTTTATTAAATTTGGTCAAATCAACCACCTTTTCTCTTTCTCAATTATGCTCGATTTGGATGGAAGCCCTTTCATTGACTAAGTAACTGGAGCAAGCCCATGCATGAACAGAATCTCCAAAGTAATGATGCTTTGAGTAATAAAACAAATAATCAGAAGATTGTCTTCGGAATTGGATTACTTATGGTTTGTGCTCCAGAAAAAACACCAATAAGAACCTACGCTAATAACTAATTCTGGAAAGAAAAAAAGAGGCGGGGAATCGATATGGACGATTACCTACACACGCGACCACCAACTTGCGACTTGCGAGGCCAAATATTAGGTGAATCAATTCAATCCTTTGAGTTTCTTCTCTGTTTTGCTTTTGGTGGGACTTTGAGCTTCTTGTTCGATGAATGATTCGTTGCATGTGTTCATAATCAAATTCTATCTATTCTCCAAAAAGAGAACAACTTTCCACAAGGAAACCCTACCGATCATCGAAGTGGGTGTTTGGTGTTCGATCACCATCGACCATCGTCAGTAACTTTTTTTTTTCTTTTCTTGTTTCGGATCCTGGTCAGGTCACCATCAATCAATATATTAACTTTAGAGAAATTAGGGTGAAAAGGAGAGCCCTTCCTCACCACTATTTAATTTTCACACTATTGATCAGTGCATGCGATGACAGGTGTAGTAAGCGCAGGGCTGTTGCTGTGTATGATCTCAAACTCACCACTCACCACTCACCACTACCAACGGTAGCAACCACTTGGCGCGATGAGAAAGATCTATTCTGGGCTAGATAAAAGAAACTTGATGCCACAACTGAATGAATGATAAAAAAAAGACAAGGCGAAATAGGCTTGCATAGTTATACTTTTGACTTCTACAATAATAATAGTCAACTATTTAAAAACCAAAAAATATATGACGACGTCACAATTTTCGATCTTAATGCTAATAACAAATAGGGTTAATATATTTGTATGGCACGAACTTTGATCAAAATAAACATTCTGGCCAATCTTTTCGATCTATAACATCCTGACCCAAACTATACATTAAAATAACGAAATTGGCCAAACCCGATATTTGACCGTTAACTTGGACGGTCAAACGCGTTGACTAACGATCAATGTGCCACGTCACTGCCAAGTCAGCGCCATTCCCTTAAAAAACTGTATATTTTTCACCTATTACTATTTATTTGTTTCCATTTTGAATAAAAAATTTTGAAAAATGAAAAATGAATTTCGGGAAAACCTCGAAAAATTGAAAAATTTGAAAAAACTAAATGCATTTTTCTTTTCTTTTATTTGTTTCAAAATTTAAAAAGAAAAATAATAATAGGTGGAAATTATAATTTTTTAAATTGAAAATTGCTGAGTTGGCAGTGACGTGGCGCATTGACCGTTAGTCAACGCGTTTGACCGTGCAAGTTAACGGTCAAATATTGGATTTGGCCAATTTCGTTATTTTGATGTATAGTTTGGGCCAGGATGTTATAGATCGAAAAGATTGGCCAGGATGTTTATTTTGGTCAAAGTTCAGGCCATACAAATATATTAACCCTTACAAATATAACCATTTATTTCACTTTTTTGATCATTTCATTTAAAAATGGTTAAATATATTAGTGGCTTTTTATATAATTCAATTCGTTCTTTGGTTGGGTGGTTTATGTTAGGATTTTCGATAATCAAGGATGGTTGCTATTAGTATGAATGTTGACAAGATTACTTGGGGAAACAGTTTCATTTTGTGACTAATCGAGATGCAAGCACTGTTAAACAATAAGTTGTGTGAACACCGTTGTCTAGAAAACTGAAGAAGGAAGGAGTAGAAGTAGATGACGCAGAGTGGAGTACTTTGAAGTATGGAGCTTATTCTACATCTTGCTTTGTTTGACTGATGATATCATCACTAAAGTTTATGCTGAGAAAATTATTGTTGGTCTGTGATTGAAACTTAAAAGTCTATGCATGATAAAGTTTTTAACCAACAAATTGCATCTGAAGCAACTTATGTTCAGTCTGCATGCGTATGGGGAAGCAACGCTTCTTCGGAATCATCTAATCAACTCAATATTACCTTATTAGATATGCATAATATTAATGTTAAAGTAGATGATGAAGACATTGCGTTGATTAATACTATTAATATCTTTATCACGTTCATATTAGTATTTTATAGATTCTTTTATTGCTACGAAAGATTGTATGTCTTTAATAAATAGGTTCTACATAAGGTGTAAGATTTAGGTTCATAAAAACAAACATCTGGGATGGCTGCTGTAGGTAGAAGGGGACAACAATTTGTTAATAAGAAGATGAATAGAAATTTGATTTCTACCAGTTCGAAGGCTGATGATATATGTAATTACTATAAGGAGATAAGACATTTATAATTTGATTGCCCTAAACTTAAGAAACATAAGCAAGCAAGCATATGCTGTTGCGGCATAAACAAACTCGATCTAATTCGGAAGATGGTTTAGCCCTAGCTGTAAATGAACAAGTACATCGTAAGATTTTGTGGTATTCAGATACTATAGTTGCTTATCATATGTACCCAAGCATTGAGTATTTTTCAACTTGTTAGCAGATAGATGGAGGATATGTTTCTATATCCAATGGTGTTAGATGCAAGATAGTTAGAAAATGCTCCATCAAAATAAGGACATATAATGGTTATGTTTGTACCTTGAATAATGTTAGACATATTTCACAGATGACAAGAATAAGATGTCTTTGAGTCTACTAGACATTAAGGGTGTTCGTCTCAAAGGTGAAGATGGAGAGGTATTTACAAGGACTCTAATATGATCTTTAAGATGTTAAGTATGGTGCCTTGTATAATCTACAAGGTTCTGTACTACATGTGATGTGGGTGATATTTACACCAAGTTGGTTCCCCATGACAAGTCCCAACGTGGGTCTTGTTGAATGTGTTGAGTTATATCGCCCTTAGGGGGCATTCTTAGGCACGGGAGAGTCTGATATATATTGTGATTTGGAGCGCATTTGGATAAATATGGTAATGTTTGTTGCATCTGGTACATCTAGTATTTGAGAAAGAATTCAAATCAAAGGGTAGATTTGTTAGGATGCCCTGAATTTGTATGATCCTTGTCCATTTGTCTGTAGGTCAGCAAGTTAATTTGTTTGGTACCTAATTCTAAAATCTATTTGTATTTGTACTCGCCTCAAATGAGTGAAATTTGTTCTCCTTATGTGTGATTAACTAGCACATATTGTGTAAGTAAACCTAGTTATTACGCATCCGTTAAAGAAAGAGATATGAATTTGCAAATTCTACTTTAATGCTAGCTTAACAAACAATATGACCATTCTTCCTATATAATTATGGGCGTTAAGAATAGAAATTAAAAATATCAAATTAAAAAATTTAATTTGAAGTTCTTGAAAAATATTATCATTCTTCTCTGAGTGTAATTGTAAAACCAATTGCATATGAGATTTTGATTGCCATGTCAATATTTTTGCAATACAACTCATATAAATATCATTATGCAATCCACTTGTAATTTCATGTGTAATTAAATATTATTTTTAAATTATGACAAAAGAAAATAACAGAAAATAATCTCATTTTTTAGATCATTTTGCTCTTCATATACAATTGCATGTGTTGCAAGCTTGCATATCCATATCAATGCAATCGGTTTTGTGGATGCTCTAAGAACTCCAAAGTCCGAGGGATGGAAGCAAAGATGATGAACTTAATTCCACGCCAACGCAACCAATAGTATATGTCTATAGATATGCAAGTAACCACGTTGAAAAGAAGCTTTGCGCCAGCCTTTTCTTTTACATATACCAACACGTTGAAATGATGCAAACAAGTGATAGAATCTCTCAAGTTGGATGTTTGGGACGTTAACCATATGAGAGCTTCACATTGTTAAATATATACCCAACCCTGGCTATAGCTAATTTGCATCGGATAATAAGGTCAATAACAAGAATAGACTGCAATGACAATATTATTGTTTTCCCAGTCGAGATTTCTGTGATAGCTATTTTGCCCAACTTCTTGTCATATTAGCATTTGCAAGTTGTATTATTATATGTATGCAAGGATTTGAAAACTAATTGTAATTAGCATATTCAGATCTCCGTGATAACTCATTTCAGAAAAGAACGATTTAAATTCCCTTTCTTGTTTACATCACTGTAAGATAAACTTAGAAGATCACGTCTGATATAAATAAATTTTGATTGAAGGTTTCTCGTCAAATACATATGGCCAAAAAAGTGGTACTGCAGTTGAACAAGAGAATGATTTGCTCCATCTGCATCCAGCTAAGCTGGAAATTAACCTCGTCAAACTGATGGAAGTCACTTTGACATGCATACATCATTCTAGACTAGTTCAGGTGACTGAGTGACCGAACAAAATCTCCCCGAATCCTATGCGCCCCTTCACATTCAATTTCGATACAAAACTCTGCAACACATTTGATACAATTGGGTATATGGCTAGATTAATTTACTAGCACCAATATGCATATTAAGGTTCTTCTTCTGCAACATATGATCTATAACTACGGTGAACCAGTAAATTCAGCCTCGATCTACATGTCTTCTTGATCCCTTTCTTCCATGGCTTCCTTCCATTTCTTGCCTTAGGGAAGTTGATCCCTTGTGCCATGTTCAAGTTCAAGTAGCTAAAAACTTGCCGTCGGCTGCCCTGCCGGTGCCGGTTGTGGCTCCAAAGACCAAAAAGAATGGTTGATAACTTGATATATGCTTTATACGACTTGCACCTTGCACTCTTTTTACGCCCATCCGGCCAAGGAAGACATGGAAATCATGCCCAGAAGAAGAGAGACGTACCCTCCAAGCTGCAACCGCAAGTTGCCGAGCAATCTAGGGCTGCCGAAATCGTGCGCCAGCAAATCGACGAGGGCCATGTATATCAGAATCCCGGCCGAGGCAGAGTTCATCAGCCCACCCACCACCAGAGTCGTCTGGCTGTTCTCGCTGTAAATGCGTGATATGCATATCCCCGCCGCGATGCCGATAGGCGTGGTGAACGAGAAGAATGCCACCATCATAGCCACCACCCGCAGCCTGAAGCTCGCCTGTGACAGGCACGCGCCCAGGCCTAGCCCTTCGAAGAATTGGTGGAACGTCAGCGCTGCCACCAGTGGCTTGATTGTTTTCGTGCTCCCTGAAGCTCCCAATGATATCCCTATGATCACTGAGTGAACCACAATCCCCAGTTCCAGAACCTGGTTCAGCACAAATCCCAAAAAGAAGAAAATTCAGAAGCTTCCAAGAAGAGAAACCCTAAAAACATAGAAAATTCCCGCAGAGAAAACAGAGTAGGTCCCAACAGAGCAAGTTATGAAGTAATTTCTGTTGAGCAGTAACTAATTCCAGTTTTGATTAGGGTGGAAATCGTTCAATTAATCACTGTCATAGTAAAAAGAGGCGAAATTTGAATTCTTTTTGTAATGGGTTGTAGGAGAAGTAAAGTACCTGGGAAACAACTCTGTGCCGGAGAAGATCAGAGGAGGCAGGGGAATCATCCTGGGAAGCAGCAGCAGCAGCAAAAGCAGAGCCATGAGAGTGACCATGATGAGTAGCGTGCGTATGAACATGGACATGAGCCTCATGAGATTCCATCCCTGCACTGGTCTCCAAATCGCCACCACCATCGTTATGATTAGCAACGGACGAAACCCCCTTGTCGCTTCTAAAACCGGAGCCCTGAAAATAGCTGGTGGCCAGAGTATCGATGATCATGGTCATCACGGCCGAGATCATAGCCACGAACCCAGGGAACGGGAACCTCGCCCAAGGGTTCTCCTTTAAGCAGGGACTAGAAAGGCTCTCGAACGCGTCGGGGAGAATATGGACGAACCCGGTCGCCAGAATGACCCCGGCGGCAAACGCCTTGATCAGGAAAAATAGCTTGCTGTCCGGGTGCAGAGTCGGCACGTTCCTTGCGAGGATCGGGAGCGAGACTCCGAGACCACTGGCGACGAGGATCGTGCAAATCGCCACGATTTTGTAGACCAAGGGCCCGTCGCCGGGGTTGCCGGAGGTGCCGGCTTCGTCGTCGCAATTGCAGCCCAATACGGAGGTCAGGGGAGACTGGAGGAGACCTGGGAGGAAATTAGTCAAAATTGAGGAAGTAGCAGCCATTGAAAAGGGTGGAAGAAGGAGGAGGAGGAGGAGGAGGAGGAGAAGAATCAGAAGGTGGTTTAAGGGGAGATTAGAGAGGGTGAGGGAAAAAGGGGACTGCGTGAGAGTGGAAAACAGGGGAGGGAGGGTGGGAGCGAGTTTTTAGGGGAAAGAGGCGAGGGAGAGGAGGGCAGTTTTGACTTTGGGGAGATGGCGAGGAAATGAGCGGAAAATGTCGACATGCATTTGGGCAAAAGGGAGTGTGACGTCGACGTGGCAGGCGGCGAATGAAGTGCTTTACTCAAGGAATGAAGACATCCTGATGTAATGAGGAAACAACTCTCTGTGCAATAAAAAAGGGTTAATTATTTATTCCGGTTCTTTCCAACCTAGGGGATCACTGTCTTGGCCCCACCCGGTAGTATAGTTATTAGTTAATCTGGAATTTAACTCCTGGTGATTGCGATTTCTCGGACGAACGCTTCAAAATTAAGGCATTCGACCACCTAAGGGTGAAATATCGATTTGGTTCGAACTATAATCACAAAATTGGAAATTAAATAAAAAAATGTTGAAAAGCTTAAAATGATTCGGTTCACCGATTAATAAAAAAAATCAAACTCGTTATTCAACTTAATACGATTCTAAGTATATAATTGATTTTTAAAGGCTTGCGAATGGGCATTATGTTCAATTTACTCGAACTAAACTAACCCAAATTGGTGTCAAAATCCATTTGAATCACTATTTGGTTTGGACTTCGATTCGTTATAAGTGTTCGCTTAGTATTTGCTTTTCCTTCCTTGGGAATTTGGGTTTGCTTCCTTCCAATCTTACCTTAGGCCCATGTTACTTGGACAACCCAGCTGGATTGAAAGCCCATTTTCCCTTGCTCAATTTTTGTTTTCTTGATAGTTTTTTTTTGTCATAGAAATCCTTGCGGATTAACTAGTTAAGCACGAGATAGCCACAATATAACGGATTCTTCGTGAAAAGATAGTCAAAGCAAATAAGTACAATTGAAATGAACACTACAAGAACAAGAGTAGCATAAGGCATTACGTGCCACAACATGGGCAACCCGATTAACTTCTCTAGGAGTAAAAGTAACAGATACTAGCGGCATTTCTTGCAACAAAATGATGACTTCTCGTAATATAGCTCGCACATGGCCATCATTTGCATCACAAGCCGTCAAATGTCGTACAACTGCAAGAGCATCACTTGTGATCACGACTGCCCGATCCTGCCACTACCATTGTTGAAGTAATAATACAGCTTCTCTAATTGCCAACACCTCCATGATCGTAGGATGAAAAAGGCCTGGGAAGAAACCACCCATTGCAAAAACTGGAACATTCTGAGCAAAACCCACCATGCCAATTGCGCCATGAGTCGGAGCACTGGTCGCCCCATCAACTGCAATGCGGAAAGTAGACTGAAGCGTCGAAAGGGGAAGCGACTGAGGTTTGGATGGCGGCGGATGCGACTGAATGGGAAGGACGAAAATTTGATGAGAGGCATGATGAGATAATAGGTGACGGTACAAGGCAGCAGTGGTAAATTGTGCATAGGGCGGAAAGACAACATTATTCCGCCCTTTCCAAATCCGCCAAAAAAAGAGGACCCAATTAATTATGGTGGCATGATCGGAGTTGAATATGATGTGTCTTAAAAAGATGGACAAATGCGTGTTTGGAAAAATTCCCGGAGGAAGTTGTAAGTTACAACGTTGACGGAAAGCTACCGCCACACGACATGCAAGGAATAAATGTTCCATCGATTATCCCTCATCTGAACCACAAACGGGGCATGATTCTTCCACCTGCACCCCATGTCGGCCAAGATCCTCCCTAACCGGAAGGATTCGTAGTAAAATCCGCCAAAGGAAAAACTTCAATTTGAGAGCAAGAGGAAGTCCCCAAAGTCGAGGCCATAAAGCAGGATCAAGAGGAGAAGCCTCGTCCATTGCACCACGAGCCCGTGAGACTGAAGGTGAAATAGTCGACAATCGATAAGCTGACTTAACTGTAAATAAACCATGCGGATCAAAATGCCAAATTAATTTATCCGGGCAAATGATTTGTGGCAAAGGTATGCGAATGATATTGGTAATGGAATTCGGCGTGAAGATCTCTCCAAGTCGGTGAAGGTCCCAAGAATGATGAATGGGAGAGATGAAGTAGGAGAGGAATCGAGGGGAGCGATCTGCAGTGGGCAGTACCACTGGTCGAAAACTTGGGAGAGATGGAACCCAAGGATCCGTCAAAGCATCAATTGAAGAATCAGAACCAACCTCCCAATGCAAATCGCGGAGTAGCAATGCCCGGCCATGAAGAAGTGATTGCCATGTCCAAGATGAATTAGAACCCATACCGGCTTTCAAGAAACTCGTATGATGAAAGTATCGTCCTTTTAAGACCCGCGCAATGAGGGAATTGGGATCTTGTAAAATGCGCCAACATTGCTTGGCAAGCAACACTTGATTAAAAGCCTCAAAATTCCGAAAGCCCAAACCACCATCCCCTTTTGGTTTGCGCAGATGTCTCCAAGAAACCTAAGACAAACGTTTTTCGGTCCCCTGCCGACCCCACCAGAACCGTGCAATCATACGATTTAAAGCCCGACAAAGCTCATTTGGAAGACAAAAACATGACATAGCATAAACAGGTAGGGCCGACACGACTGATTTAATCAGAACTTCCAATCCTGCTGGCGATAAACAACGTCGTTTCCAGCCTTGGAGACGTTTAGAAACCTCTTCCTCAATGAATCGAAAAGTATCCCGCTTAGAACGATGGATGATGGAACGAAGTCTAAGGTATTGATCACGTGTCCCAATGGCACCAACTTGTAACGTGGTCCCAAATTGCGTCGCCTCTTGCGTGGTGGTATTTTAGAGAACACCACTGCTGATTTTGCTAGATTAACCCGTTTTCCACTCATCCGTTCATAACGACGAAACAGATCCAGTAATTGTTGACATTCGATCGGAGAAATCCGGAGAAAAAGATAAGCATCATCCGCAAAAAATAAAGGTGAGAGGACTGGACAATGACTATTGAGACGGATACCCTTTAGCTCAGCACGAGTAATGGATTGCAACAGCAAAGCTGAAAAACCCTCCGTACAAATGGCGAAAAGTAATGGGGATAGAGGATCTCCTTGCCGTAAACCACGAGATGGCCGAAAAAACCCATAAGAGGCGCCATTGAGAAGAACTGAAATGGAGGTTGTGGAGAGACAATTGTGGAGAAGCTCAATAACACGAGGTGCAAAACCCAATTTTTCCATTAAGCGAAAGAGGTAGGGTCATTCAATCCTATCATAAGCCTTCTCCATATCAAGTTTCAACGCCATAAAACGATCGTAACCAGTACGCTTATTACGTAGGTATGTCATAACTTCCTGACTAAGAATGACATTATCTACAATCGAGCGATCCTTTACGAAGCCATTTTGATAGGTGAAGATAACCTGAAATAACACTTGCCCGAGACGAGTAGCGATGATTTTGGAAATAAGTTTGTAGAAAACTTGGCATAATCCAATAGGCCGCAACTGCGCACATGTTTCTACTTGAGGCACCTTCGGAATTAGGGTAAGCAAGATATGATTAAAGGATCGTAACAAATGCGCAGTACGGAAAAAAGATTTCACCGCCGTGCAAACGTCACAGCGAACTAATTCCCAAAAGTGTTGGAAAAACAGGGTCATGAATCCGTCCGAACCCGGAGCCTTTGAAGAGCCAATCTCGAATAAAGCTTGTCGAATATCAGAATCAAGAACTGGGGCAAGAAGAGCCTCATTCATAGCAGTCATGACTTTGGGTTGCAATGACAAATTATCCACTGCAGAAGTAATGTCAGCAGGAGAAGTGACTCGCTACGACACAACTCCTAACAATGGCCAAGTGTAACCAATGAAAGGGACTGCAGTATAGTGGCTCAAGTAATAAATATCGAATCCACGGGTCTCTAGATTTACTATTACTCAGCTTCAGTTTATTATTTAGCAAACCATATTAAGATGAAAGAACTAAAACTACTCTAGCAAACTACAGTTAAAGTTAATCTAATTACAGGTTGGGAACTCACTTAGGTATGATTCCCCCTAGCCACTAGCTAGATTAATGATTGATGATTTCTAACCTGTTTCACTTTCATTCACAATGCGGAGAATCCTTGACTAGACCTTGAGTCTCGACTAAAGGAACAAGGCCCTCTTGAGTCAATTGCCTAGAGGGACGTATCCTTCTCTAGAACAACCGATCAAGGTTTTCTGAACTAGATTCCCTCTATCGAATGAGGTTCTCAATCGATACAAAGCATTAAATCAACCCTCGACTAAAGCAATCGATCCAATACTATCCATCTATGGTGCTCTATTGACCTAATCAGGTATTCGCTCTCATAGGATCAAAGCAGAATCAATAATCTCGACTAAAGCAGAATTGAATCATGAAAGCATGCATAGATTGAATATGAACTCAAGATTATCAAGTAGGAGTACTCATACAATCATCCAATCAAACAAACATGGCTAGGGTTCCTCAAAACCTAAGTGAAGGGAAGTTACTCCATAGAGAAGAGAGAGACTGCAGTAAGAATCTTCAGATGATCAGTCTTCAAGTCCGGGCTTGTTCCTCGAGATTCCAAGGCAAAGAAATCCTCCAATTCCACTCCAAGAATGCCCTCAAATCGCCCTCTCTCTCTTTGGTTCGTCCCTTGGGTGTTTGGGATCCAAAAACCCAGCTCTCTCTCCTTTGGCTCGAATTTGGGTTAAAACCCCGATTCTGGGCAAAACACTGTCGCGGACACGGTCGTGTTTTGCTTTTGCCCGCCCATGTTTTGCCCCGTGTTAAAAACACACCCGCGCGCGTCGGCCAAAACGCGGTCGTGCCTAAATATGGGCACGGCCGTGTTTTGATTTAGGCGCGCCCGTGTTTTTACTGCCGAACCTGTTCCCCTATATTCAATGCTTCGTTTCTCCCTCGTCCGGACTCTGAATCAGTCGTCGTTTGATCCCAGACGCTCGTAGTCTCGTCCTCTTTATTTTAATGACAAGCTTGCATGATTCTTTGTACATAAATTGAGGTAGAAATCCATTCTTCTTCAGGTCATGCCCGAGTTTCTTCTCCCGAA